CGAGACCTGGCCGGTCTGTGCCTCACGCCGTTACCCTCCGTTCAGAGTGGAATGGACGCTGGGAGGAGGAGGACTCTGAACGCGCCTGTGGTTTGGATGGCCAGCGTTCCGGGAGCACAGGCTGGATAAGTCAGACGTCTGTAGAGGGTAAACTGTCAGCAGAGAAACCTCGGACTTGATTCCGATCGTTCGTATTTCTGATGGCAGTCAAGGGGCAAAGGCTTTTCCCATTCACCAGGTAATGTTTTCATGCGGGTGCCCAGATGGCATGCAGCTGGTGTAGGCTGGGGATCATTGCAGTCAGAGCTACTCAGGAGAAAAAAAAAAAAAAAAACCCAGCCAGTCAACCCCGGAAAAAACTGAGGTGTGGAAGTAGTCCCTGGCTGTCCTGCCACGCTTCACCTGCTGTGTCAGAGAGACGACACTGCTTGTCTACCTCTGCTGTCCTTGTTTGCACTTAGCGTGGCTCTGCTACGTCTGCAGACTTACTGGTCTTCACTACTTGTGTTTTCTCTTGTAGCACATCTCCTGTACTTTGAGCACAGTACGAGCTGCAGCTGGAGTAACGTTCCCTTGAAAACTCAGAGTTTTTTTGTCATGATCAACTAAGGAGTTTTGTTGTATTTGGAAGGTGCAGTTATGTGTAAAATAAGAAAGGCAGAAGCGAGGTGAATTTCCTTGTTTGGAAAACTGAGCAAGGGCGTATTTCAGTTCTATCGGAGAGCATGACATTAGCAAATAATTAAATTCTGTATCTAGTATGCTTTAATGAAAAGTAGTGCATACTGCAAACGCGTCAGCGCCCCCTGCTTTCCTGTGAGGGACTGTAGTCGTCATGTTTTGAGACCAAAGGCATATCATTGAAAGAAAAATGTTAGCTTGTTTTTCCCATTATGCTTTTAAGCCTGTTACTGAACCTTGTCTAGAAGTTGGCATAGTACAGTTTGTGTGCAGTGAACAAAATGGCACGTTTTCTATATGGAAACTGAATCTTAAATGATAGAATTACATACCAGCAAATTATGTAGTAGCTTCCCACAAATTACTGATCCATAATAACTCTATGAATTTCTCAGAGAACAGCAATGTATTAAACGCTTAAATATCCCAACTTTTGTCAGTTCCTGAACTGGCTTTGTCGGTGGAGAAAATGAGATATGCTACGTATTTGTTCTTTCCTCCACTATTCTTGTAAGCGTTGAAATGCATTTCATTGGTATGTCACTGCTTTCCGGTAGAATGGGATGAGAATGCTCCATTTGCTGTCAGGAGCCAGCCAAAAGGCGTTTCTTTGGGGTCCAGTATTGAATTTTTGTTTGCATTACAAATTGACGCGAAACCACAACTATTGAGGTTTTCTGGCATGCACAAAACATTTGTTCAGCTAGGAAATGGGTGGACAAGCAGAGAACCAGTGGTGACACGTTTGGATGGCAGCCGCTTTGGAGTGTTGTGAAGCAGAACAATTGTCATGAAGGAAAGGGGAAAATCAGATTATAGTCCATTTCCCTGTGTTCAGATGCAGGACTTGGTTAGAAGTCTTTGCTCCTCCTTGCCAGCATATATGAGAGAGAGCATTTCTGCTTTTCCAATGACCGGCACTCCTGAGATCCATGTTCTTTAACGTTACTGCTTTGTGAAATGTAATGCTTTGATGTTAGGTTAAAAAAATAAATACTGTGGGTTCATTAACAGTAATTCACTTGATATTTTGGGAGCAGATGATCTTATAGCCAACTAAAGGTTTGTGAAATTATAACCTATCTTTAAAGGAACTTCATATTCTAGTTATTTGTGAGTATGATAGCCCTCGCCTGCTGCAGTAGCCATAGGCTAGTTCCCGGGCTGGTTTTCATGAGCTGTGGGGAGGATGTTTCTCCGACTGTGCAATCTGAGCTGCTTGGACATTGCATGGAGCGTTTTTCAGATCCTTCTCAGAGCAGGTATTGCATATTTGGTTAGTTCCCTGAATAAACGTTAGGAGTTTCACGTTGCTGGCTTTCAGTGTTGCTACTGAATTAAATGCTGCAGTTGTTGCAGTTTGGTATGGTGATAATTTTTTTTGAAGTTAACAAGTCAAAAATCACTGCTGTTCGGATTGTTCTGTGTAGAAATTGGAGATAAAATGAGTCGGAATAGTTCATACGTAATATGTCAGTATATTACTCCCCTGCTGAAGGCTTCAGAAATCACATTTGTCTGGCTAACTTTACAAAAAATTCTGTAAGTCATGAAGTTGAAGGCTTTTTGAATCACTTTCTTTTTTCCTTGTTGTTACTGTTTAGTCTTTCAGTCGTCAGGAAAAAGCTATAGTCAGTTCATTGTCAACCATGAACCTACTCTACCATAGGGTGATACCATTGAGGCCTAGAATTACTCTAGGCATTGACCGTCATGCCCCTCTTCCTGAATACAGACTTAATGTGAAAAAGGGGAAGGTGATACGGGCAAGAATCACAGCATTGTGAAGCGCTTATTGTTGTATTACTAGGTGACTTGAACACAAAGTTCTAGCGCTACAGATATTTTTAATGGGAATGGGAAACCAATTTAGTTCAGTCAGTGTTAGTAAAAATTCACTTGTTTTCCTCCTCCAGCTTTATCTATTTTCTTTAAGTGGGATAGATTAAGCTTCACAGAAGGAGTGGTAAGATCCTCCTGACCTCAGTGAGATTCGATGTGATTCATAAAACAGTATAGTGTACATATGTGAATGTTTGTGGTGAAATTTATCATATGCTGATGAATAATATTCTTGCTGCACACCCACTACTCTAGAATATATTGGACATACAGCTGAATTAATGACTTTAATTTTACTGCTGACTGAATTAGCATAGTTGGCTCTGTTCATTTGAGAATTTGAAATGGAAATAGTACTCATGTCACACTGCTAAAATCCTATGCTTTTCAATCCTCCCTATATTTATCTTTTATTTAAAAAAAAAAAAAATTACCATGTAACACAGTTATTCAGCACCTTATTTATACGGAGTATAGTTTTTTTGTTTAGTTCAATTTCTTCTGTTGTGTTCAGAGTTGCATTTGAAACTTTAAAGATAACCTTTAAAGGACACCTTGCCAAAATAGAAGTGAAGCCTTAATTTGAAGCCTTAATGCATTTTTGGAATGAATTTGTTAATTGTGGAGTTCGATTTTGACTTACTCTTAAGGGAAAATAAAATTTTAGGCTCTCTTCCAACTTGCTGTTTAAGTGTATGCTTAACTTTTAAACACTTGAGTAGGTTCACAGACTTAAGTAAACATACTATATGATTTTTGACCAGTTCGCTCACTACTTTAGCAAAACTGAGAGCAATATATTGTGAGAGCTGAGACTTTGGCAGCAGGAAAGTGTTGAGCAGAAGGAACCGGTGAGTGCACAGAGGTCGTGGTGATGTGCTTTGAACTCAGCAGTGTCAGTGTTAGCACTGTTAGCTGAATTAAATTTCCAGAACCGCTGTCCTTGCAAAACCTGGCGTGTTGCAATTTAGACAAGTCGTAATTGTCAAAGATTGCTCCAAAGTGGTGTGAGAGCAACTTTCAAATTGTGCCCGCGTTCCAGGTATAGCCTGTTAGCCACTTCCATTTCTGGCTTTAAGAAACTTCTGCTTTTATAGTGGCGCTCAGTCCAATACTGATTTAATATATACTGAGCGTTCTGTCTATCCACTGACCTAAATGCTGCTGTTTAAATGCTGTTATTTAAATCTTGTTATAATAGGATTAAAAAGAGGTCTGAACAAACTTACCTGTGTAAACATACGTTCAGAACAGTACAGAAAGGTGATTTTCTCTTTTTTTTTTTTTTGGGGGGGGGGGGGGGGGGGGGAAGGAGAGGAATGAGCCTTGCAGTATGAAGCCCCCTGTCTTTGAAGCCGCCCTCTCATTCTCCCTTAACTTTTAAATCTGCTAACCAATTTCTTCCAAAGCTGACAGACTGGTAGAAGTCTCACAGTTAATGAATTCCTGTGGTCTTCGGAAGAATCAGTGGCCAGGTGCAGAAGACCTTATTAGTTCCCAGAAAATGAGAGAGTGGCTGGGGAGGAAGGCTTTAGGCCATAAAGAGGGTAGATAAAGATGTTACAGTGAGATTTCTAGAAAGTCAGGGCTGGGGTGACACAGGGATTTTCAGAGTCACTGTGACGGACGTTAGTAAGGATTCATTCACTCATGGGATAGCTTCTGGAGAGGGTTTATGCGTATCTGTTACAACTCTAAAAAGGTACATCTTAAAAACCTCAAGGGAAGGGAAGCCAGGAAAGTTATGTTCACTAGTCTGTTTGTCTTAAATGAACGCTGAGGATTATTGAAGTCAGCAGGACTGAAGCATATGCTTCACAGCTTTCCTACTCAGAGCTAGAGAGTAAGGGCTTATCAAATCACATAGTTGAGAGAGTTTAGTTTTAGTTGTGAAAGATATAATTGCACCAGAAGGCATTCAGAGGATCTGTGGCGGGTATAGTTTGCTGGGCACAGTGTGTTGTTTAATAGGTTGAATACTGACAATCAGGCTGCAATGCTAGGTACTGTGTTGTAAATAGCTGTTTTCTGGTGTGTTTAGCATAGTCCTTTTAGCTTCCTTTTTCTGATACCTGTCT